AAACAACTTATGGCCAGCAGTTAAATCAATGATTTAAAAACATGATTTTCCTGTTAGATCTAATGTTTGATAAAGCCAATTTATTTAATTTAGTGGCTGACATTAACTGCATGTCTGATTGTTTATGACAATTTATGGCTTTTAAATTTGATTATTCATTACTGTCTCTTAACCTTTCAGCTTTGTTCTTTCTGTCATGAATTAGCATTCAAATTTTAAAATTATCTCCCACTTGGGGCTTAAGTTTTTCCTGGAAATAATCAGATAGAGGTATCCACTGGGGCATGGTCTGTAGTACAGAGATATCTGAACATGATTCAATTGAGTATTTAAGGGTTTAACATGCAGCTTTTATGGAAAACATTAACAGCAATGAACTTTTCTTTCATTCAGTTATGCTACAGCCTTTTTCCAAAGGGTTTTAAATTGAGATCTTTTTTCTGTGGACATTTTCAGAGATGGCACATCACATCTCCCATCCCTTCAGTCATAGCCACCCATCTAAATGGATAGGATAAGAGAACCATTACTCAGTTAAACAGGAAAGTGGTTCATGGAACATTTAGAGGAGCTCACGGCTAATAACCACAACTAAGATGGAAAAATATGTTGACAAAACAGACTCCACAAATCCTATCAAATTAGGTAATCTAGTTAGATGACCGTAAAATTGAACTTGTTGACAGATGTACAAAGTCTGTACAACAAAAGAATAATATTGCACATTATCACAAAGGGGTGATGTGCACTATAGTCGTTGTAGAGGCTACAGCTGATTTGAACCTGAAATAGAGATTACCCTCCAACAAGAAACAGATGTAAAAATACAACAAGAATAAAAATAATCAAAATGAGGCACAATTTTCTGGGGTTTACTTGTGGGTTTACATTTTTTTTCTTTGTTTTACTGTTATTTCAAAGTTGGAAAATTGTAATTCTTTAGTATCAGGAAGTCCACAAACTGTAGTTAAGAGACTCATGTTAGACTCATCTCATCCAAAATTGCTGCAGCCAGAGTTCTGAGGAAAATTAAAAAGAGAGTTCATATCTCTCCTATCCTATGTTAGGTTGTGACTGAAGATGTGTGAGTTTATTACACCCTGGTGTTGGCTGCCTGTTGTGCGTCAGAACTGATGTTTTCTACAATAGTTAATCTAGTTAAGACAGTCCCTTTGTCTGGATATACAGTACAGTTATAATCCTTATTTTGTAAGTGACAAAGATTTGGAAATGGAATGAGAGCAGTGTCCTTGAGCTAAGAACAAAGTGTAATATTTTGATAAGGCTGTGACTATGGATATCTACTCATCTGCTAACGTGTATGATGTAAAGTAAGATGATGTGGCAGACTGGAGATGTATAAAATGTCTTTATAACTGTTAATTGGGGCCCCTTACTGAGGTGAGCAGCTTACATTCTGCAAACTCTAAGCCAGGTATCCCCAAACTCGGTCCTCAAGCCCCCTGTCCTGCAGGTTTTAGAGGTTTCTCTGCTTCAGCACAGCTGGTTATAATGATTGCAGTAGACCAAAAGCCTGTTAATCAGCTTTCAATTAAAATCAGCTGTGCTGGAGCAAGGAAACCTCTAAAACCTGCAGGGCATGGGGCCTTGAAGACCGAGTTTGGGGATGCCTGCTCTAAGCAATTTCTCTGACCCGAGTAGGATCACAATTTCTATCAGAATCTGTTGTCATGTCTCCTGGTTATTTAATAAATATAAGTTATGAAGTGTTATTTAAAGAGTTATGATCTCTTTTCAGGGAAAAGAAACCGAGAGATACAGTAGAGCGTGAAGGTGCATACACAGAGCCTATCTTTAACACTTAGCTTCTCTTCATTGGCTTCCTGTTAAATCCAGAAAAGAATTTAAAATCCTCCTCCTCACATAGAAAGCCTTAAATGGCCAAGCTCAATCTTATAACAGAGCTCTGATTGTACCTTATGTTACTAACAGAGTCCTTTCCTCTCAATCGGCAGGTTCACTAGTGGTTCAGGCAGATTTTTTAGTTGTCAGCGTCCTCTCCTATGGAACCAACTACCAGTTTTAGCCCATGAGGGAGACACCCTGTCTTCTTTTAAGGCTAGGCTTTAAACTTTCCTGTTTGATAAAGCCTATAGTTGACTGAGGTTATCCAGCGCTATCTCTATAGTTATGTTGCTATAGGCTTAGACTGCTGGAGGACATAGGGACCCCTTTTCATCATTTTGCTTCATTTTTTTTTTTCATCTGGTCTGGTTCTGTTTGCCTGTGACACTATACCTGAGAGAAATAAAAGCTGTGCTGCTGCCATCAACACATTTATTCATAGAGTATAGAGTTGGCCTGTTTTTCAGTGTAGTTCTGTTTCTCTGACTGTGATTGCTGGATGTGCTCTCTTCATGCTCTGACATGGGAGCTGGCTTAGAGTTCGTCTGCCTGGCTGTGTGTTTCCTGGACAGGGCCGCCTGTGGAGCTAGTTGACAGTTGCCTTTTGTATCTCTGCTTCTTTCTGTATGTCGGCTTGTCTCCTTGAACCCCAGTCAGCCTCGGCAGATGGCCGCTCACACCGACTCTGGTTCTGTTAGAGGTTTCTTCCTGTTAAAAGGGAGTTTTCCTCTCCATTGTTGTTGCAAGCATACTTGGCGTGATGGATTGTTTTCGAGTTAATTAGTTGTTGTTGAACTTTAAATCAGTTTGACTGTATGATCTAGCTCTATATTAATAAACTGAATAGAATTTCTCTTCAAATGCACTTTAAATGCAATGCAGAACTTTGCAGTGATCTTTCACACGTATTTCTAATAAAAAGATTGAAGTTTGTGTTTTTAAAGTCGTGAAAATGTCTAAGCAATATGAAACCTTTTTAAAAGGATTGCACATTAAAGAGGTTCACCTTGTTTTTTTTTTAAGTCACATTTCAAAAAAGTAAAAAAAATAACAATCCACTGGACTTCGTTTCCAATATTGAAGACCTTTTGCTTCCCGTCCAGGAAGCTTTTTTAATGTAAACCAGACATAGCATTGCGTTGCTTTATACAGTAGCTCAACAAAGCCTTGTTTTTGCTTAGACAATATTCAAATTTAGAATGGGGGTCGTTTGGCTTCTTTTGTTAGACTGCAATATGATGGTGACAGTCACATTTAATTGACATTTTCTCAGCATTGTCTGATTCTAAATAAAGTGAAGATAAAATATCTTGAAAAATAAGGGTGTATTCTTTTATGATTTCATTCTATTCAGTTCAAAAATGCATTATTAATGCCAAAGGGAAAAATGTATATATATATATATATATATATATATATATATATTTTGCACATTTAGGTGGTTTATCAACGTAAACACATCCATTGATCTGAACTAAACGTTGGCAGTTAGAACCTGGAAAGCTAATCTTGTTAATGTCCTGGCAGGTTTAATAATGGTTCACAGTGCTCCTGGTTGACTTCTTCTATTATTACTTGCATATACTCAATGTCTTTTTGTACCTGTATCAGCACAAATTAGAAACGCATGCCACATATCTAAAATTCCCAGGGAAACTATTTTCTAAAACTTCAACATGTAAATCTCCTTCCAAAACTTTTAAAACTTGAACCAAACGATGACAGTATAAGAACAGGAATGTACCATCTGCCTCTGCGTTTACTCCGTTTTCTGCTCTATGCCTCTTGCTGCAGTGTAAGCGGTGATACTTGTTTTTATGTGCTGTGACTGAAGAAGGCTCCCACAGACATTAAGCTGCTTGGAGCCTGATGACTAAGGAAGGCAACCTGCTGTTGAGTCGTTATGGCATTATACGCTTGCCAAATACACTGCTGAAACTGGAAAATGTGTGAACAGTCATTGCCCCCTCCGCCTTACTTCCATATGACAACCTATCACCCTTTGCAGTAGGATTATTCTAAACGTGAAAAATTTTACGCAGAAAGGTCAGTTTTATGAGATCTACCTGATCCTCTTAACTCAACCGCTGTAGAGTCAAGGCAATGCTGCCTGTGCTTAGTTGGAAAGGGGAGAGAAACGGCATACAACCTGGACAGGCCACCCGTTTTTTTTGGGGTTTTTTTTACAGGGCAGCACAAATACAGAAATATGATGAACACCACCACACACACACATACTTGCACCTTAGGCTAGTTTTAACTGACCTGCTAAGATAAAATACATGTTGATGGGCGGTGGGAGAAGGAAGGCACTTGAGCGTATGACCTTCTTGCAGCAAAGCAGCAGGACTTACAATTACAGCCCTAAATCACCTAATAGTACTAGATATAGATTCTGTCACCAACACAGTGAATGCTATCTAATCACAGGATTTTTAAACAATGATGAAAGCTATTCCAGATACCCAACATTTTTGACACTTTTTTTTTACTAAATAAGAAAACTGTTTAATACTCATTTACTGAAGATATTTCTTCCAATGTTTTCAGTTTTAATTACAAAAACTTAAAAAATCGAAAAAGAAAATAAAAAGGTGGGAGAAAAAAAGACCAATGTGCCTGCAATAGACCTATGGACAGATGAATGAATGGAGCGATAGATTAAATAATAGATGGATAAATGAATGAATGAAACATCTAGGGAGTGAGACGGAAAGAAGTCTAATAAAATATAGTTTTCTTAAAATATTTCTATATTATTTCAAATCTTTGCAACTCAGATTTTTTTTCCTGCAATAGAAACATAAATGCTTTCACACAATTGTCTAAAATGTGAAGTTTATTTCTTCAAAAAAAAAAAAAAAAAACATTTTAAAACATGTAATTTCCCTTGTTTTCCACTTTCTAAACCTGCATCTAATCTCCAATACTAATGTTAGTAAATAAGATAACACAAGTATCCATGTATAAGTTTAACACAAACTGTTCTTCAGGCTGAAAGCTGTATTAAGCTCCGAAGGTGCAGGCTACACTGCGTGTGGAAGGAAAACAGATGAAGGTGGGAAAAAGAAAAACACTGATAACTAATTCTTCTCAATAACTGGTATTTGTTTAAAGCACACTGCAAAAACGGGTGATGAAAAATATTTTCATTGTGTATTCAGAAGCAAACGCCAATGACAACACACATTTAAAAAAATTAGATGTAGCTCTTTGCTCTGTGCAAGAAATACCTCCTATTGAGATCAAGAGTCGTCTTTTGTACCTGGTAGTGAATGTATGTGCAAAGCATCATGATTGTCTAAAAGACAGTTTGGTAACAGATTTCCATATAAACTTTGTTTTTTTTTTATCCTTGACCATTCCTTATGGCACATTTCAAAGTGTCCACCCATTAATGTCTCGTCCTATCTGTCTTACAAAACAGTCTTTCCTTTCAGTCATCTGTAAATAAAGTGCTATACTTTTTTAAGATATTTGCTCTAGTGCTCCATGACAGCGATGACAGAGAGCCTTGAAAGAATCCGCCTCTTCATCTGGATGATGGTTCAAAGAATAAGACGCTGGTGCAGAGGAAAAAATATCTCCAGTAGTAGTGTTTGTTAAGGTGGGAGAGATTTCCACCCCCATGTTCAGTCAACAATGGCTGAGAGGAAAACCATGGTACCCATCCCGCAGAAAATGAGCAGCATTTGCACCAGGGAGTGTCTAAAAAGAAAAAGAAATACCGATTTACAAAGTTGTGAACATACCTTCTACATAAAAAAAAAATACTTGTTGGAGTTTTTTGTAAACTATTCCTAAGTAATACAGTTAGGGAAATAGACAGAATACACATTTTATTGAATGTAATGGAATGTCCACCTTAACCACTATATAGAGAACTATATAGTGGTTGCACCATTTTATATGAGCATCCAACTGTCTAGTGGATGGAAAAGTAGTTAACTCAAAACTTCCCACAATGCACTTTGAAAAGTAGTGTACATTTATGGTCACTAGACGAGCAGATACATCCCAGAATGCTTTGCAAGAGCTCTCTTCACAAAGCATCATGGGATATTTTTAGGGAAAGAGAGAAAGCAAAGAGGCACTATGCACTGCGCCGGGAGCCAGAGTCATGTAACCAACAGTGAACGAAAAATAATGATTATCTGTCAGAACGGCCAGTTACCAAGTTGACTATAAAATCTACAACTAAGCTATGGAGGGGTTAGGGCTGAAATTCAGACATAGCCATAGGCTACCAATTTTGTTTGTTTATTTTCATAGTTCATTTTTAACAGAGATTGTGGTTCTCCGAGTCTTGTCTTTGTTTTGAAAGTTTGTCAAAGAAACAGACTTTTTTTTGCATCTTTCTTCATTCGAGATCATTTGGTTATTTTGCCAAATCTTAACAGCACTACATTTTTTTTTTTATAGCACCAGTCATTTCCGTATACATTCTGTTCCAGGTGTGAGACCATTGAAACCTATAAATGCACATAAGTGGACAGGTAAAAGACAAAGACAAGAGGCACCATCGTTCACGTGTTAATGACAGACTGCTGGTGATGAAGTGCCTGGCTGTTTAAATAAAAAGGTATTCTATGCAAAATGAAATCTTTGACATCTAGATACAACCGTGGCATATCTTTGAAGAAAAGAAAAGAAACACATTTGCCCCCCATTAATTTACCAGTAGAAATTATCGAAAATATCTTAAAAGGCTGAAGAAATGTTGTTAAAGTTAAATTCAATCAATAAAATCTGGTTCCTTGGAGGTAATATATGAGAAATAGTGGACTAGTTAGAATATTTGTCCAATTTTTTACCCCTGCTGAATTTATTTAGCATTTACCTTAAACTGGACTCCTGTAGCAGGTCAGGCACAACATTAACCAAGGCAATGTAGAGGAAACCCCCGGCAGTGAAAGATAGAATCCAGCTGGAGGAGCTTTCTAAAACAAAATAAAATTATTCATGCATAATCTGGTCAGAAGATTTTCTTAAGATTTCAGATTACTGAATTGTGTGTTAAATGGAATTAAAACTACCAGCAGCTCTGGGTGACTGAGCACAGAGGGCGAAACAAGCTCCCAAGATCCCAGCCAGAGCCGTAAACAGCTGCATCCGGGCGGCACTCCAGTGATCGAACCCAGCTCGCAGCAGAATAGCAAAGTCTCCTATCTGTAGAGGATAACATTGTACTAAGCAGAGAAAAGCAACAAAATTTCTGTTTACAAACACTCCACTAGTCTAATCTGTTAGAAAGCTCCAAGTTATGCAGAAATGTAATTTTATACTGAAAAGACGCTTCTGAAAGGACAAAATACAAATTCCAAAAAAGGTTAAAAAAACAATCCACTGGACTTTGTTTTTAAGACGTTTCGCTTCCAATCCAGGAAGCTTTTTCAATTCAAAATGTCAGAGCTTTATATAGTGGCCCAAAAACAACAGCTTGTTTTGGCGTAGGAAACATGCAAATTGAACCGAACGAACATGTCCGCCCCTTAAGAATGGGCAGTCGTTGGGTTCTTTGTTAGCCTCCAATACCTGAAACCTATCTATGTCTCTGAAAGGGGGGTTGTTTGAGGGAATTGTTGGTTTGGCTGAACAGGCAAGGTGTTCTGTTCCCCTGGATGGGGGCCGCAATGTTGCCCCATGCAGGGCAACAGAGTAAAGTCCAGAGGATTGTTTTTAACTTTTTTGGAATGACTATGATCTGGATGACTGAGAATCTTCACCAGCATACGACACTATACTAGTTTACAGGGTGGATGGTAAGTAATTAGATTAACTATTGCCTAAATATTAAAGGAGTAGCTTAAGTATTGCCATCATGAAGCATCACTACTCTTGAGTAAAAGTTTGAGCTGCCCATCAGAGTAACTTGACTGAATCGAGAACAGGTGTGTTATAAACAAAACCAAAAAAAAGACACAGGAAAAGTGAAAAATGCTGTTGAAATGATTAAGTTTTGATGTTTTATAAATTACTTTTTATCTGCTAAGCCTGCTGTGGCAGCTATAAGTCAAATGAATATAGAGTGAATATTGTCAATCAAGTTACTTTACACAGATCTACCACACAGTATATAGATTAACTACTCTAAAAGCTGATTTCATAAAGGTCATTTTGGAAGATTGTTTTTGGAAAAGTGTTTCTTCTGCCAGAATGTATTATTTTGCAATTAAGTTCATATTTGTAAAATTTGTATTTCAACTTTTTTAATAGTGTCAGTATAATTCTATGTTTGTTTTAAATATTAGATTAAATGTTATCAATTAGTCTTACGTGAGCAACCTTGTTATCAAATATATATATTTTTAACACATTTCTTGGATGACAGGTTTTCACTGGAGTGAAACTATGCTGAATTAGTACAACTCTTACTTGTGTACAAGTTTTGGGTACTCTACCCACCTCTGCAGGTTTATATAAATACTGTTATCTCACCTCATGAGGGATTTCGTGGAGTAGAATAGCAAAAGTGGTGAGGAATCCAACCTGCAAGAGAAAAATAAACCATTAAAGAAAGGACAAGGTGGTTTATATGGAACACCAACCTGTTTTTCTTTAAAAAAAAAAAAAAAAAAAGAAGCCTAGTCTGACCATGTTTATTAAAATATTTAAGGGCCTTTAACAGTGGAATGATACGCTTTTTTTAAGCTTTTAACTATACCATTGTTAGGCAGGGGTTGGGTACCGGTTTTCTGGTATTTCCCAACAAAAAAAGTGTCACAGTTTCAGAAGTGCTGAAGTTTACTGTCATACTGTTCCTGTGGTATAAGCATTTTTATAAATAAATGTACAGCAGCATAATGCCTTCGCAGTGAAGACAAGCGTCTTTCTTCCAGGTTGAAAAACCAAAAAAATATTTTTTTCACAATAAATAAATACTCATTAAGATCCCAATATTAGACTGGAATGGAATAAAAAAAGAATGCTGAGTTCACTAAATGATTAATTGTCTTCCTTTTCATTCAAGTTTAATTAACATTGTGTTCGTTGCAGTATTATTTTTAATATTTTAGTGCAAACACGGTGATAAACAACATAAGTAAACAAAAATTGCTGGTAAAAAATCTTGCAAGCGCATGTTTGAAATATGTAGTCAACTTCCTTTCTGGCAATCTGATCAATACTTCATGCTGTTAGCCTTCTGTCCCTCCAGCTGGACTCATGTCCCAGAACTGCAGATACACAGTAACCTACTGAAGCGGTACAAATCTGTGTCTCTGGAGTTTAAAATGCACCTCCCAAAAAAAGAATGTGAATAGCTTCAGGTCCTCTAACAAGTGATCAGTCAGCGGTCTTTATAATTAGATGACCAGGTTTAGGACAGCTAACTTAGCCTGTATGTAAAGAAAAATGGTGTCCTCACTACGTTTCCCTCTAAGGCTTTCAGGGTTAAGTATCACAGGGCTCTCTAATCAACTTCCCTTTTTTTTTTTCCTTTTTTTTTTTTTAACAAAAATGACCACAAAAAATTTATTGCATGAATTTTGTCAACACCTTTTTGCCTCCTCCTTTTCTTTCCTTATCTTCTAAACTGATTCAGATAAAAACTTAGCAGCAGCAACTTCTCCATTTTACTCTTCTGCAAAAAACAAGACAAACTAATATATCCATCCATACAAAATACCTGCATAAATGTCTTTCTTGGACCCATTTTTACATTTCTTCCTCTTAATCATCTGCATCTTCTCCCATTTTTAGTTAGCCACAATGGCTGAAATTACCACTCCACACTAGAGACTGACATTTTTTCGGGAATCCCACCGGCCACGGGATTCCCGTGGGATGGGAGTCAGTATTAGTAACGATCACGGGATTGGGACGGTACAGGATTAAACATTAACGGGAGCAGACGGGAGCGGGAGCAAACCAATAGTAACTTCCGCTCTGAGTTTTTCACCCGCGCTCAAAAACAACAAGAATGGGAGTGGTGCAGGAGTCATTCTGAATGAGAGCGGGATGGGAGTGGGAGTAATTTCACCAGGAGTGGGACGGGACAGGATTTAGATTTCTACTCTGGCCCGGGATCGGGACGGGACACCATTTTTTTCTGTGGGAGTAGGACGGGACAGGAGTGAAAATCCACTCCCGTGTCAGTCTCTACTCCACACACACTGAGATCCTCCAAGCTTTCACAGCTAATAGGTGCCTTTTATTTTTGCATGTAACCTTTGAAATACTTTTAAGTTTTCAGTCTCTTTTTGACCTTAGGTAATGAAGCCACCACTCTCACACAAAATCATATATAAAATGAATGAGTTGGATTTTTTAACTGACAGTATGAAATGGGGTGATGAAACTCTGTGAAACAAATCCTACCTTTTTGCTCACCAAGAAACTTGCAGCTACTGCCAGCCCGTGAGTAAAGTTGTCAATGCAGTTGGCCAGAAGGTTAAGGTACCCACTTGTCTGTAAGACATTGTATGAAAACAAATGTCTAAAACCGAAAAAGAAAAATCAAAACATTGGGATTTGATGTCATAACATTGTCTATTAATTAAGCTACATTTTCAGGTTAAGGGCAAGAGTGTGCTTTAAATGTAGTCTTTAAGCATTCTTTTTAAAGATGCAGTGTTGTGAAAAGTATTTTTCCCTTACTGATTATGTTTACATCAATTTGAATAGTGACACCAAGACCTGATTACTGCTTGGCATGTAGTATCAGGAAACTAGTTAAAGGTATGTGGTGGATTTTCGCAAGTATTTGAAAAGACCCTCTCCACAAAATGCACATGCACAACCTTGTACCCCGCTCCCGCGAGGGAACGTCTAATAGACGCCAGCGAGAGCGTGCATGAGCCCGTGTCTGCTTGTGCACGCTCTGTTTAAATGAAATGAAAATGGGGACGAGCCCTTACGTAAACAAATAACCAGAATGATTGCAATTAGGGGAAACACTTATTTTGTTTATCCACCCAGAAAAAGAACATCCTCCACTATACCTTTAACTGGACACAATGAGGAAAATTACAAAAAAAAAAATATATAAACGATTGTATAAAAAAAGACTAGGAAAAGTCATGGATAATAGATTGGGAAGTAATTTCTACGACTTTAAGACTGCACTGAACTACAATGAGAGCCATTATCCACACATGAAGAAACCATACGAAAGTATTGGAACTTTTCAGTGGCTAAAAGAGCTGACTAAGCAAATTTACTCAAAGAGTGCGTAAACAACTAATCAAGGAGTTCAGAGAAAAGCTTTGAACATCATCTGGAGCTTTCTGATCTCATGATTCAATCATGATTCAAGAGGTTAAACTACAATCTTCCAGATGAAAGTACGACTGATCAAAACAAATCCCCATACACACATTTCTCTTTCCAAAACATTATGGCAAAGGCTTTATGGTGTTTTGGTTTTTTCAGGCATTTTGCTACACCTGAACCAGACTAACAAGGAAAAAAAACAAACAAAAAAAAAACAAAAAAAAAACAGTAAAGCATGGTGGTGATAGCATGATGGTTTGGGGTAGTTTTGTTTTTCTTTAAAGAAATTAATTATTTACTGCTACTGGTGGAACCAGGAGAAGGAGAATGGGCCACCCCCATAAACTTAATTTAACAGCAGTCCCCGATGCCTGCTAGTAGAGCTCTGAAAAGCTCAAAGAAATGAAGGTTTTGGAGTTTCCTCCTGAAGTCAGAACTAAAATCAAAATGAGAGGCTGTGGAAGGACCCTAAACAGGCTGTTTTCTCCCCAAAACCCTAAACCATGGATAACAAAGGGGAGTGGGGAAAAAAAATTATCCACACTGATGTAGAGGACTCGGTACAAGCAATTGGAAATTCAAATCATGCTGTGACTAAAGGTGGTACTATGTTTAGCGAGAGCTTACGCTTCCACACAGAGGCAGATGGTTTTGGCAAGTTTTTTTCTCTTAATGAAGGGGGGGGGGGGGGGGGGGGGGGACTGCATCTTGTCTTTACTCTCATCATTTGCTTAATGATCTGAAACTTCCAAATGTTAAGAACAGCAAAAATTATGGAAATCCTTAAGATGACATACAAGTATCTATTTTCCTGTATTTCCACATTGCTGTTTTTAGATGTCTGACCGAACGAGTAAGATTATATGTGATCATCTCTTAAAGGGAAGCCATATCAAAGTCAAAAGTTTATCCCCACTGTTGCCCTATTTCTCTTCATATTCTGGGATTTGTTTCGGTTTTCAGAATTACCTTAATTTTCTCTGAGGTGTCTTGCTGAGTCTGTCGCTGGAAGGATTTCCACGCCTCAGCATGGTTTCCATTTCTGAGTGATGTTTCTGCTTTGACATTTATAGCTGAATTTGACTGTGGAGAAAAATAAAATGTGACTTTTATAAAACATGTGCGGTCACCAAAACATACAAACGTATGTCAGTCATTTTCAAAATGTCTCCCCAACAGAATCAAAGAGCTCCCAGTGTAACTAGTCAGAAAAAAAGCTATTTAATAGGAATGTAATTAGTGCACTGCAGCAAACAGATGTTTCATTGTTGGTTTTGAGCTGTGCTAAAATGATTCAACTACAGTCAAAACCAGATGACCCTTATATTTATCTCAACTAGGGCTTCTGTTTTCTGAGAATAGCCAACTTCCCTGTTCCATCATTTAGAAACCACTTGTGTTGCCATTTGGCCCGATTGTCTGATAAAGCAAGAAGGAAATAACCTGCGGTCCTCTGCTCGCCGCAGAGAAATGTTTTCTCCATCTCTGTGACTGAAGCTTGGGGAAGTAATGAAGTGTGATCAATTTTAGGGCTATTAATCATCTCCAACAGATTGGAGCTAAATTGTCGTTGCAGAGGACTGTGCAAACACCCATGTAAAAATTATGCATTGTTCCAAAGCACTGGCATAATTCATGACAAAATGTTTTCAGCTCATTGCTGTCTTTTGGTAAAATTAGCAAAAGCACTAATGTTTAAGGAGAAAACACTTAAGGCCTTTTAATCTCTGTCCATATCTATTGTTGCCTCTTCCTAAAAGTGCCGTTCCGGCGGACACTGAAATGGCTGAAGCAGCTGCTTCATCCCTTGCACTAAAAATAGACACAAGTAGAGGGGCTGAGACATGGATTCCAATCTTCTCCCTCACTGGCATAAAAAGGCAGGATGGAGCATGTATTCTGCTTTACAAAAAACACTGCAATAGATAGTTTTGATCAAAGCTAGGAAATATATTTTTAAAGTTTGACTAAATGTGATTAGAAAGCTTTCCTTTAGTAAAATAGATGCATGTTAGACTTGGCATCTCTTTATGAATAAATAGAGGAATAAAATGTAAATAGGAACAGCTGTTTCAAATCTGTAAGCTCCAAATTCAGCACCCTGTGAGGGTTAATCGGCTCTGTGATAAATGCACTTCTTTTGCTTTTAGCCTTTGACTGGATTACAGGACTGAAGTAGATGATGCACCTGGGTAAATATACACAGAGTAAGCTGCAGGATACAATAGAAGAGTACAAACACTGGCTATTAGGAAACCAGAGCAGTCTGGACATATCCGCCTACAATATCATTTCAAACATCTTTTGTTTGGATTTCAAAAGGCAGAAGGCTCAACATTAAACTGACATTTGTTTTTTTGCACCATTTAAAGACAGGCAAAAAAAAAAAAAAAAGAAAAATCAGAATGGATTCCATCCAAAATCTATAACTATGGCTGTAAACTCCCGGGTGTTTGATGGGTCATCTGATTTGACAGCCATCAAAACACCACTTACAGATGTGCAGAATTAAGCATTCTAGTATGTGCACAAAGCATGCCAACCAGAGTAAAAATATGTAAAGGCTTGTGTTGACATGCAGTATACAGAGAGATTGCAAAGATACTTACAGAGAGATTAAAATTCAGGTCTGAATCTGGGGGGGCATCCTTGAGGCCGTCTTCATCTGGGAACAGTTTCTCCAGCAGGTGGAAGGCAAACAGACCGATGATTACCCACAAGCCCTGGGTCATGTAGTGGTTGTGTTTACTAGCTGTAAAAGGCGGCAGACAGACTGTAAATATGTGGGCATGAGATGCACACTAGAGATATGTTGCTACAACCAAAACTCTGCTTCTAAACACTGCCACAGTCTTCAACAAAGCAACATGTACATGTCTTTTTTTTCATAGAAGAAAACAAATTAGAATATGAAAGCATTTATAAAGGGTGCCTCTGAGACCCACCTTGAGGGCCAGAGAGCGCCCACGCCTCAGGAAGGAGGTGAAGAAACACATCACCTAGGAGACCACCAATAGCAAAGCTCAAGAGCTGCTTCAGCTTTTGGCATCCAGCTGGCAAAGAAACACGGTACCAATTATTGCAAGCAACGGTTAAAACAGATCTCTTTGATTTTTTAGCTTCAAATGCTGCTTATAAAATAAATACAAATTTAGGGCTTTATAAAGGGATCTCGATAAATTGGCATCTTGTATTTTAGCTCGCCTGTTGTCACTTCAACATATGAGGCACTTCAATGCACAATAGCTTCTTTGGCTCAACATGTTGACATTACCAAAATAACACAGGCACTCCACGGAAACTTTAACCTTGGAGCGTTTCCTTCTCTCACACTAACTTCTGGTTAAGCCTGCTTTTGTCTGGCCTCAGCCTAAAATAAATCTGAAATGACACGTTGGTGTGGGTGGGGCCCAGTAAAAGTTTCAGCCCTTCAGCCTCACCTAAAGAGACTTTAGCTGGGTCACTAGAGGGCAAGGATAAGAGAACTCTACAGCATATCATTTTTAAGTTACAATTGCATTATATACATATTTGAAGTCTAAAAGGAGTGATTAGTACATGTATAAATAATTTCCCAAAATTGTTGAACTCTGTAGCTTTAACTGACCAGCAGGTTCAATTTCAACAGAAAGCCCTTGTGTGTTCAGCTCTAGCATTATTATTATTACATTATTATAAAACTTCAGTTTAAAAGCTAATGAAAACTAGCTATAACAAGTACAAACCCTTATGCATTTTTTTATATTTTTTGAAGAACACAGTGCAGTTTTGCTTGTTGCATGCTGCAGCTAAAGCTATAGAAGAGGGAACTCTTCAACATAGCACAGGGTCGTCATAAAAAAAAAACTAACCAAAAAAAAAAGCTGTAAACTTGCATCACTGCAGTGCCAACTATTAGGTTTTCTGCCACATTTAGGAAGTGTGCAGCGGTGTTCCTTTTTTGCCTCTGCTTAAAGTTTACTTAAAGCTGCTTACTATATAAAATTCTGGATGCAGCTGGGTTTTTGGCTAACTGCCTATTTTCCAGAAGAAACAACTGTTGATCCCAGTGGACGACATTTATCGGGGATTTTCAATTTCAAAACATTGATTGATTGACTGATTGACTTTATTGATCACAGTGGAGTAATGTACTCGTTACATCAGCTCCATTAGTCAAAGGAGAAAACTGCGCCAAAGGAAGAAAAAGGTGCATGGGATATATAAAGTGTGTCCACATATGACAGCATTTTTTACCTTTTTTTATAGTAGGGTTATTATACAAGAATTATTATTATATTGGATTATTTTAGAGTGAGGGAGGATACTTGGAAGATAAAAACTGTTGTACTAACTTTACAAAACAAATAAGAATCAAGAAAAAAACAGAAGAACTATGAACTATTACATATTTTCATTTTCTTTTTTAAACAGTAGCAGGTACGGATGACCTCCCTTATACCAACTCTTTAGGAATCATAAGAAACAGAAAAAAAAGCTGTATGCATCCGTCATGTTTGTTATCCAAGAAATAAATTAGGAATCTTGAATACTTTTCTGCAGCCCTATCTTTATGAATCCAATAAATGGATTCTTTATCTTTCAGATGTGTCAAATAGCAGCCCAGTTTCTACCTTTTCTTTGCTAGGATTTCCAAAAATGATCAAAAGAGGAAATTATTTTACAATCAATATTGTTTTCCTTTGTGCTTTGCTTCTCTTATTAATTATCTTGTTTTGGGAATTTGGAGTCATTATAACAACTATAGATGCAGAAAGCTTGAACCAAATGGCCCCAAAGTCGCAGCATAAAGAACTTATATGAAAGACGTTAAAAATGAGGGCTGCACCTACATAGACATATATAGAATGCACATATATAGAATATAGACTGTTGTTGCAATTTCACCATTCATTTGCTCTTTATAGTCCTACTAAAAAGGTCTCAAAATCACTTAGCTGAACAGACACATAAATGCAAAAGAAACGTACCAACTCATCTGTAGAAAACATTAGACAATATAGAGAATGTATGCAACACATTTGGTAGACAAAAGAGGAACATCTCTTTACATTAGAACCGAAACAATCTTTAAATACTACTCATTTAAAAAAAAACAGTTAGCTATTGGGTTGGTGATTAAATGAAAACCTAGCTCAGAAAAAAAAAATGAGAAAAAAAAGACATTTCCATTTCCTACCTTCAGTCTTGAGGGCAGCTCCTGATTCAAAAGGAATAACAAGCAGAGGGAAAACTCCACTAAGGCCTACAGCGACTGAGCCAACCAGGGACAGGAACCATACATGCGTGAGTTCACTGGTAAGAAAATCTGTGACCGCCTGGAGGCCTGGGAGGTCATCTGCCAGACTCGGGCCTGGTCCAGCTGCTGTAGCCGTTGCATGAGCCATAGAGGTTTGTGACATCTTCTGGCTGCTTGATGCTCCCCTGAAGGTCAGCATCAGCAGAGCAGCGGGGAAAAACAGAGCAGCGACAGCCCAGCTGGGCCTCCAACAACTTCTACCTTTCATCCGTCCCCCTGCCCAAAAGACACTTGGAGCCAGTGATGCTTTAAGAGAGGAGAAAGCCGAGACAAGAATACCATTAAACTACAATTTTAAATTCATTTATTGGCCATGTTCCATGGGCTGAATTCTAATGCCAATAAAGGTAGAAGAAGAAAGAAAAACTGTCTAAGCCTCTTGTTTACTACAACCCCCCACCAAAATAACATTTTAGAGCCAAAAGTTTCTGTGGAAAAGCTGACGACATACATCTAAGGTTCTGGTTGTTTGTATCAAACACGCAGATCTTTGTGCAAAACTCAGAGCTCACAGTTTTGCTCCAACCTGATGAAATCTCTGTGGATGACAGAGACTGTCAAAGAAAACTACAAGCATGTCCCTGGTTTTGCCGTTAATCTTGACATGCCTTCCACTGTCTTTGACAAGGCCTTTCCACTGAAGACTGTTTTTGCTCTCCACATTGCCAGCATCCAAATCTCTCTCCAAATCCCCAGATTCTAGAGAAAAACACGGATTTCAGTGCAGAATAAAGTCTCTACTGCAACTACTCATAGTAGTATTAAACATCATTCTATATTAGTTAATAAGTTTTTGAAAATTTTTATATTTCAATGTAGTCAACACTAAACAATACTTAAAGACACTCCTTTGCAGCAATAAAAAAAGCCCTTCCCTCCTTGCAGCTGCTCCCCTAACCAAAACAATAAGTTTCTGCTAATATATTAGCCAATCTGCTAATATGAAGAATGCATTAACATTGTGTCTCTTTAGTGACCTAGGTGAGCAGAAAAGGTCTCTCTGAAGAGATACTCAAACCTGTAAGGCTGAGAAACAAGAAAAAAAGAAATGCCTACATATGCCACCTGCACTTGGAGTGCATCTTCACACTATGATACCAATTTTGGCGAGTAACTTAAGACCGTATAAAAACTCCTGTGTCTGCAACTGTGAAATAGTAAACCTGATCCACTCAGGCTTTCTGATTAAACATGAGCTTCATGGACATCAGATGCCTGATGATGGGGTTCCATCAGCGCTAACCGCTAACTCTAACTGGTGCAGATGCTCAGCATCACACGATACTCTATTCAATTCAGGTAAAATAATAATAGAAAAAGTTCACAAGCTAATGGCTTTATCAACTTCTAAATAGTGAATTGATGAAACAAACCACTGCATACCCAACAGTATTCGTCTGGATAGTTATAAAGATATTGCAGGCTAATATGGCCAACAATAACAGAGTTCATTGTGGAGTCAGGATGAAGCAGATAACTAGAGCAAGAAAAAGTCAAAACTGGCAGCTACCTGTGCTGCTGCTGTGGTTGATCCCTAAAGAAAATATCCAAAAGTACCAGGAAGATGGAAATAGTATTTGGATCCTATATGGGAAAACAATGTTGTTGTTTTTTAACTGTACCCACGTTCAGTTTGTAGATAACTTATCTTTTGTATAGAATGATGCTTAATTTTCCTCTCAGTGCTAAGATTTTTTTTGTAATGGCAGCACAGGGATAAGTACATGGTAGGACAGTTTTCATATTCTCTGTGAAATGAAGCAAATTGTTCCTTTAACAAGATCCTCGTCAAACTGACATGCAACGTTTGTTTTTAAAACCTAATGTGTCTAACTGACCCAGTGATTTTTTTTTTTTTATGCACAAAACTAACACGAAATCTAACTAACTCAGGAAATGAAACAATGTGATTGGCTGTAAGGAGAACGGAGACAGGGGAGACTCAAAACCTGCTCCCGACCAAGTTAGCTCTGGGGAGAATGTTACTACGGTGACTGAAACAGGGGTTTAGGAAACTCTTTGTGAAATGGAGAAATCAGTCTCCCATATTTCAGGTTTAGAAAACTTTTACTGAGGAGTTTACTGAAGAGTTTTCAGTAAACCTGCTTTGTGAAATGGACCCCAAGTCACAAACTTAGCCTGACCCAGGAGGTATGATTTGTATGTGTGTTTTTAATTAATTAACAACAGAATTCACAAATGCTTATCATAAAACACATAAATTCAAACTTTAGAATTCAGAAGTGTGTAAAAATTTTATTAAAGGAATAGTACACCCAAAACATGATTAGCCTTCATTTTCTACTCACCCCCATGTTGAACAACACTCTGGAGTACTTTTTGGATATCTCAAATGCATCTGGAGATCTGGGAGGCTTCTTGCTGTCTGCTGACATTCAAATAATGGGGGTCTATGGTGCCCAGGCAGAAAGGTCCATAAAAGTCCACAAAAAACGTGTCAATATTCCTCCATACTGCTTGTCCAATGTATTCCAAGTGTCCTGAGTGGGTAGCGTCCATAATTTACTCGAAACGAAGTCATTTAGAATGTTTTTAGAGCATAAACAGTAGTGTATAGGATTTCCTAAACGCGCGTTCACGAGACTACGGAAACCGCGGCAGACCAAACCAGACGAAAGTGCGCATTCAGCTCGGCAAAGAACTCATGCTCTTCCTCAACACTGAAGTCCTCACTCCTCAGACATTTTTCTTTCGTTGTTTCTTTCTTTGCACAGGTAAACAGCACATTTCTTCTTCTACGCTTGCATTATTGGCAGAGCAGACGCTGAATGCGCACTTTCATCTGGTTTGTTCTGCCGCGGTTTCCGTAGACTTGTGAACGCGCTTTTAGGAAATCCTATACACTACTGTTTATGCTCTAAAAACATTCTAAATGACTTTGTTTCGAGTAAATTATGGACGCTACCCACTCAGGACACTTGGAATACATTGGACGAGCAGTATGGAGGAATATTGACACGTTTTTTGTGGACTTTCATGGACCTTTCTGCCTCGGGCACCATAGACCTCCATTATTTGAATGTCAGCAGACAGCAAGAAGCCTCCCAGATCTCCAGATGCATTTGAGATATCAAAAAAGTACTCCAGAGTGTTGTTCAGCATGGGGGTGAGTAGAAAATGAAGGCTAATCATGTTTTGGGTGTACTATTCCTTTAAGTTTACACTATGCATACAAACTATGTGCTGCTAATAAACCAAACCAGGAAGTGTGCATGCTCAAACCGCCAGCTGCAGACAATGCAAGGAACAGCTTTCCTCTGCTTGCGACTTTTTTGTACAGTGAGATGATTCACAAATGAGATGATGGGTTCAGGGCTGGAAAAAAGCTCAGATATCTCAGCATTAGTCGATTTACTGGAAACACCCCGTTATTTAAAAATCCTAGCTCAACAACCACTCTATAAAAAAATATGCCATTACATAATCATTCCATTTAGGCGAAATCTAAAAATTTGGTTTAGACTGTCCCCTTTTTGTGGAAGAAAGGCCTGGACAACATATTGGACTGGAGACTCAGCTCTGAAGCAGTTTATGAAGACTGTACTTCTCGAGAAAGCTTAGTTTACAGCAAGATGCTGAATAACTTCCATAAGGCTGATGTGGAGAGTGTGATTCCTTCTGCCATCATCTATGGGCTAGCAGCATCAGAGCAAATGACTAAAAGAAGTTAAATAAGCCAACAGAAAAGATTGGCTCTGTTCTAGGAACTTCTCTGGAGGTAATTTTACAAAGAAGAATTCTTCTAATTATGAATAAAATTACAAATTATCTCAGCATTTTTTTTATCAGACGAATGAAAAACAACATGTTCTTCAGACAGAAGCTCCGCCAGATGTGATGTAAGGCAGGCAGTTACAGGATATCATTCCTACCAACAGCCATTACCATTTACAATATCTCACGGGAAAGACCCTGATAGGAGTTACAACAACATAATGTTTCCTTTTGGGAGCATATTTTGAACTGAATAGAATGTTGTTGTTTTTTTTAAATAGTAAGAATATAGCACTTTATTTAAAGTAAAACATTAAAAAAGAATAAATAAATGTATAAATATAAATATATTATGAATATAAAAAATGTATAAAGTATAATAAATAAACTAGGTCCAGATGTTTCAAAAGGGTTTTATATATATAAATAAATTTTTTATGAAGAATTATACTGAGTCCATCTTTCATATTTAGAGGCTCAGAATGCAAGTATAGAGTGCAAACAGAAACTTAAAATGTACACATAGAAACAAAAAAGAAGCATCCTAGAGCACACCCTTGAAAAGCAACCCAGAGGAAATAGAACAAAAAAACAAAAAAAACCAAAGTGCCTTTAATTTTGAAAAACACGTAGAGATATTCTTCATACATTTCATTCTTTTAAAATGAAAAAAATAAAAGAAGAGCAAAAGACCTGAGATTCATGGTTGTCATCTATGTGTCTGAGGACCTAACTTTGCAATTCTCAACAATAACAAGGATGTTTTCACATCAATTTTACGAAAGGAGAGAAATAATGTAAAGTTTACCCCCTTGAATGCTGGAAACTACGTTGGAAATCCAAGTGACGGTTTGGCTGCAAAAGATGAGAAAATAATTTTCAGTGAGAGTTGAAAGCACAGCAGGAGGGCTAGTAGATAAGTAAATACATTTCATCCATCACTTATTGATCACAACTGCCCCATCTTCAGGCAGACCATAATAAATAAATATATATTATTTTAAATAAACTTTAAAATAATATGTAATATCAGAGCTAGGTTTAATCAATATTGCCGTCATAACCCTTTTTTCAGAGATTTGACACAAAGAGGTGAATTGAAAACGAAATAATAATATATAACACACACATTTATGTGCACTGGACTTTGAATAATATTCCTTCTTTACAGCCTTGAGAAAACTAAAACTTAATCCAACTTTATTTAGATTTTAGTCCTGAATATAAAACCTAAAGATTTTAGCCATTATTCGGTGTAAGTTCTGACATCTTCTATTTATATTTTCCTTCACTGTTGATGCTCGAGCAGTTGAAAGATGTAGTTTGATTAAATTATATATGATTTAAACTATCTAGACTTAAGTTGGAGAACTTGATTTCAGTGAAGTTGTGAGTTTTGAGAAAGAAATCCAGATGTTTTCCCACCAGACCGAAAATCAAATGGCAAACTGGCTGCACAAACAATTTAATAGTGATTAATAAAAAATAAAAAAAAAGACAGAAAAAACACAACAGCTTTTATCTAATTAGTTATTAGATAAATGTTATATCAAAGTGAACGTCAGAGCATATAAGGGAACAAAGAAATGTACTTGTATTTTTTTTTTAATCCAAGTTCCAGATTCAGAGTTATCTGGAACAAAGCATAGATGACAGTAGGAATCAATATTTATTGAGTGGTTTATCACGGTGAGATTCAGCTCTGGTTGGGAGTCTCCAAAATGTAACCAATGGTTTTAATTTGAAAAACTCAAATAAGAAACTTAGAATTTTAAGTTAGTATTTAAACAATTATTACAAACTAGAGCAATCAAAGATCACCTACAATGATCTATTGTATCACTTTGTAGTATTATATATATATATATATATATATATATATATATATATATATGCAAGATAACATGTTTAAATGTAACCCATCAAAACAAATGCAATGCACTGATTTAATACAGATACGAGGCGAAGACAGAAAGCTCCAGAAGAAGCAGACTTCTATAGTCACACCTATTTATACTTTTATTTTCTTTTTTCCCATTAACTTTTCAAGTGTGTCCGACCGCTGTGCAGATTTATATCTTTAATAAACGGTCTCATTTATTAAGTATGCTGTTGGAAAGCTAGCAAAACACGTGGAGTAAATGTTGATAAAAACAGCTAAACTGTTGCAGTGAAAACAAAAATGGACGCCGCGAGGCTAAAGTGATGAAAAAAGTTATTTAAAGTAGATTTATGAAGTGGTTGATGTGGTAAGCAGCTCTGGAGTCTGCAGCTCTAAGTTAGCAGGCTAACAGCAGACATACGAACAGTTTGCTAAAGGAATTAGCTCATCAGACACGTAGCGACGCAGCAAGTTAACCGTTAAGGATCTTTCTGACAGCTAGCAGCAGTTTCATAAACTTCTTACCATTCTTAAAAAAAAAAACACCCAATAACAACCTAAAGAAGGAATATTTGTGTGCATACCTCGTGGTTTCGAAAGTCTGCGCACCAGTGTATCCCTGCCATCCAGACCTTGATGGAAAAACTGCCCCGGACTTCCTGCAGATTCCACCGGCTGCGGCTGCTGCTGCTGCTGTAGGCAGACAGGGATCCACAGCGCGGCTCTCCCAAACAGCCACGTATCAGGAACATGAGGGGGAGCAGCACCAGGGAAAACACAAACACCAGAGGGGAGTCTCAGCATGGAAACCCGCCCCTACAAGGATTTCAGGAAGTATCCTATGAAAACCTCCAAAGCTAACACAGCTGAAGGAGTTTTTACTAAAACACATTACTAATAAAACAAGCTTATACCCAAATAAGTACATATTGGTGTTTCAAAAAAGCATGAAATCAATAATGTATTAATCATTTTATGTGCACAATAATAGTGTAGGTAAGTATTTCATCCTATATTTATTATTCATGTTTCAATATAAATCCACAGTACATTCAGGGATTAAAATATTAATAAAAGGGTTCTGTGGGTGCATATAGGACTGGGGGGATTTATAGTGAACCTTTCCCACTACCTTAAGGAAGTTAAAAATGTATGTACTGTTATTTAAAGTGCAGCACTATTGAATCCTAATCAGAAGTCATCTCAAGCAACCAGACTAATATCAGTGGTGTCAAAAGTACACACATTTGTTATTTAAGTAGAAGTATAGATAGTACAGTTTAAAAACACTCTGGTAAAAGTATCAACTTGACCTCTTTACTCTAGTAAAAGTGAAAAAGTATGTGCTCCAAAAACTACTTAAAGTATAAAAGTATAAAGTAACCTTTAAAAAAAACAGCCAGATACCACAATATGAATTGAAAGCTCAATTTTTCGACTATTTGAAAAAAAAAATTGAGATAGGGCTAAGGATGAGGGAGGTCTTGTTGGTCTCCATCTCTGATACGCTCTCGCCTGTGTCCGACCTTTCAGACATTTCAACATCTTTTTCTGAATCCGACATTTTAGCATAGCGTAGACAATTCGCATTTGCAGTTTGAAGAACACCTGCTTGCTTCTGATGATTTCCTTTAACTAACCAATGAGTGTTTGCATTATATGACTCATCCAATTACACTAGTTTTCACTAGATGGGGATGGTGCCAATGATCTGCATTGGATGGCACACATGACGTGAAATAAATATTTATAAACATTGAACCAAAGCCAAATGTAACAAGTAACGTTTGTTTAAAAAATGTAAGGAATAGAAAGTACAGATACTTGTGTGAAAATGTAATGAGTAGAAGTCAGAAGTAGGAAGAAAAATAAGTAATGGAGTAAAGTATAGATACCTAAAAAGTGTACTTAAGTACAGTAACAAAGTATTTGTACTTCGTTACTTGACACCTCTGGATAATATCCCCAGCCCAACATAGGATTCATATCTGCTAATAACTCACATAAAACTAGCTCAATTCCAATTTTTTTTGGTGAAATCCGATTTTTTTGCGTTGCCTTTCACATTTCCAGATATATGCGACTTGTATGTGATCTGCTGTGTAAACTGCATTCATACAGCGTATGTGTCCCGCATGCACAGTAGAGGATGTAATGAAGTCACAAGCCAGCGTGCTTCGTGTTTACGGAGGTAAACATGGATGTAGTGCTGGAGCGCATCTAACGATCTTTCCAGACGTTAATACCTCAGTCTTTTCAAGATGGTTAAAATAATACTGCTCTCCACATCATTGTCTGCCATGGTGTTTGTTTTTTCTTGCCGTTTCTGTGTAGCAAGAAGCAGAATAGTGACCTTTGTCGGTGACTAATGGCGTTCAGGTCGGATAAATGCGACCTGGTCGTTCAGACACAGGTCGCATTTGAAAAGATCAGATTTGTAGGACCACATAGCCAAGTGGCCTGGGTTGGATTGGAAAAAAATCGGATCTGTGTTGTTCAGACTGTCATGAAAAGATTAGATCCAGGTCGTATGTGGGCAAAAAAAAAATCGGATTTGGGTCACTTTAGGCTGCAGTGTGAATGTAGCCTTAGACTCTTCTTAAACTATCTTAAAAACAGGGGAAAAAAAACTAAAATCAGAGTGTGGTGTGAGGGGGCCATGGAGAAACTCCAAGATTGTTTTGAATGCTCTGACTGGAATATGTTCAAAGATGCAGCAACCTATGACAACAAGATAAATATAGATGAGTATGCCATTACTGTGTCAGCCTACATGAACAAATACATTGAGGACTTCAGTATCTCAAAGAACGTGTGCCAACTTAAACAGTGCCATCAGATCAGTGAAGCAGAACCACAGCCAGAAAATCCAGGATCTTTTCCACTACGTCAGCAATACCAGGAGGACGTGGCAAGGAATACCTGCGATCACAGACTACAACACTCACACCCCTCCGGTAGATGCAGCAAATGCTGACTTCCTAAATTAACTGAACAACTTCTTTGGAAGGTTTTAGGCACTAAACAGCACTCCAGCAGTGAAAGCCACTCCATACCAGGGAGAGGAGGAACTCGACCTTGATAAAGCTGAAGCGAGTAAAACTGAGGAGAGTCAACCCAACAAAGGCACCGATAACATACCTGGCCGAGTATACAAGGAGTGTGAAGACCAGCTGGCTGGTGTCCTCACAGACATTTTTAATTCCTCGCTGGACCGATCCATAGTGCCAGCAGTCTTCAATTCTGTAACCATCATCCCAGTCCCAAAGAAGCCTCAGGTCATCTCACTCAGTGATTACCGGCCTGTGACACTGACATCTATCTTGATGAAGTGCTTAGAAAGGCTGGCTAAAGAAAACATTATCCCTGATTTCCCCCCTAATATTTGACCCATTCCAGTTTGCCTACCGACGGAACCTCTCCACTGAAGATGCCTCCTCTGCTCTTTACCTGGGTCTAGCATACCTGGAGGAGAAGAACACCCATGTGCGGATGCTGTTTCTGGACTTTAGTTCCGCTTTCAACACCATCATCCCACAGCATCTGATGGGCAAACTGAAACAGCTGGGCTTCAAAACACTCCTCTGCAATTGGCTGCTAGACTTCCTCAAAAACAGACCTCAGTCAGTCCGGGTTGGAGAGAACACCTCTGATGTCATCATCCTAAGCACAGGCTCCCCTTACTGCTGTGTCCTGAGCCCCCTGCTGTTCACACTAATGACACACGACTGCATCCCCAGGTTCACCACCAGTCACAACTCGAGGTTTGCAGACGACACTGCGGTGTATTGGGTCTCATCAGAGACAACAACGAGTAAGACTACAGTGAGGAGGTGGATCAGCTGGTGAACTGGTGTAGAGACAACAACCTGATCCTGAATGTGGAGAAAACAAACAAGATCATAGTTGACTTACGGTCATCAACAGCTCGGCTGCAGAGGTGGTCAACAGCACCAAATTCCTGGGGGTGCACATCACAGACACCCTCACCTGGACTGTAAACACCACCTCACTGGTCAAAAGGGCACAAAAGTGCATGTACTGCTTGCGGAGGATGAGGAGAGCCCACCTG